AGCCGATCTATGATTCTCTCTCCCTCTCCCTTCTTCTCTTTAATCAATAAAAATACATTAAAAAACACACAAAAAAGGAAAGAAAGTCTCAGTGAGCCGGCAGCTGAAATCTTCGTGGACTGAGGGGTGACTTCCTGCATGAAGCACCTGGGGCTTGGAACCAGGGTGTTAGGGAGGAGGGAGGGAGGACATGGGGGAGTGGGGACAGGAAACAAAGAGAGCCTGTCCCCCTCTTGGGGCTGAGCAGGGGGTGGCCTGGAGGCAGGATGAGGAGACCCCATGGGGGCCTGACCCGGACAGCTGGGGCTGGGCCAGAGGGCAGCCAGGGGTGCCAGTGAAGGGCGGGCTGGGGGCCAGGGCTGGGGTGTGGCCTGGTGGGAGCCAGGGCACCCCGTCCTCCTCCCACAGATCTCGTCTGGTCAGCTAGGCTGCTGGCTGTGGTGTGGAGCAGCGACACTGCTGCCACCTGGCTAGGCCCTGAGCCCATGGAGCTGAGACCCGACGCCAGCCAGAAGGAGAATGTGTCCCCCCGGCCTGCGACCCCCCTGAGGCCAGGCAAGAGGCTTGGTGGGTCTGGGTGGGGAGGTGGCAGGAACGGGGTCCCCTCTAGGTCGTGGCCCAGAGCTCCTTTCCCAGACAGGCCAGCCCAGAGCCTCCACAATTCCAGAGATTAGCTGCATCGGGCCAGCTGGGCCAGCACACAGTCTTCCCAGCCTGGGGCCCAAGGGAGGGTCGGGAAGTCAGGGAGGGAGGTCAGGGAGAGGGTGGACCAGGAGCAGGCCTGGCTGGGCCCTGGCTGAGAAGGGGCTCCCCCAGGTAGGTGGGTTGGTTGGTGGGTGCCAGGGGTGGTGGGCTGGGGAACCCCGAGTTCAGGTGCCTGGGGCTTTCTGAAGGCCACCGAGCAGCCGCAGCCAAGGGTGGAAGCGGCCCGAGGACAAATTCAGATTCTGGTTCTCGTGCCAGTGTCTCTGTTCCAGCTGAGTGGCTGTGAGCAGGTTGCTTAACCTCCCTGAGGTTCCTGTCTACGAACTTTGATGGCCCACAATCTACTTGCCTGCCTTCCCAGGCATCGCCCCAGCTCCAGGAAGCCCCAGCTCCGTGGATGGCCGTGAGGGCTGGGGGCAATCGGAAGGAGGGCTCTAAGCCCCACCCAGGACCCCCAGGGCAGCTTTCAGCCGTTTTATATGCTGGGTCTTGCTGTCATCCTTAGCTGCTGTCTATCTCCCCCCCTCCTCCCCCGCCATCTCCTGCTCCCCCCACCCCCCCAACACTTCTTTGCTCAAGCTGGAAATCGGGGATTGGTCCTTCACGCTCCCCTTTGCTTCGCTCCTCTAAGCCTCCACAGGGGATCTGAATCTGTCTTCTCTCCACCTTCCCTGCCACCCCAGACCTGGTTGTCTCCCCCTCAACAGGCCCCTGTCCCCCAGCCTCCCTCTGCCCTCCTCGCCTCTGACCCTGCCCCGTCCCTGCTCCAAGCAGCCGGGCACAGTCAGATCACGTCATTGTTCTTGCTCAGGACCCCCAGGCACTGCCCATTGTCTGCAGAGCTGACACAGACCCCTGCCGTCCAGGCTCTCTCCTGCCTGGGACCCTGTCCCTCCCGGCTCTGAGGCCTGACTGGCCCCACTTGTCCCACCTGAGCTGAACACGGAGTGCCCCACTCAGGGCATGACTGTCTCTACTCTCTTTAGAGCAACGGAGACTCCCAAAGAGCCTGGGTGTCGTCCTGGATAGTGGACATGGCCCGTGGGTGCCCAGGGGCCAGGCCGAGAGAGGAGAGCCGGCCACCACTCCCTCGCCAAGGGCAGCCCTTCGCCAGGAGCCCGGCCAAGTCCAGACCAACCTGGCCAGCCCTAGGCCCCGCCTGGGCCTTGCCCTGAAGGACACGACCGGCCGGCTGATCAACTCAAGATTCCAGCAGCAGAGCAACCTACAGCCCCTGGGAGTCCTCCCGCTGCGGGGGGCGCGAGCGTTCACCGTCCAGCAGAGTAACCTGAGCGCACGCGAGGCCAGCCTGGCCGGGTGTGGAAGCCGCAGCAGCCCCCACCCCTGGTTGGAGCCTCAGGAAGGCTTCTGGCCTCACGGGGTGCCCCGGGGAAGCACCCAAACCCCAGGGCCACAGGCTCAACCATCCCCCACCCTGAAGCCGTCCTGGCTTCTGGCCACAGACACACCCTGCTCACGCTCCAGGCCCACCCTGCGCTATGCCCCCACTGATGGGCACACACAGCCAGGCCCCAGATCCTGGGGTGGCCTGGGGGACTGGCCCTCCAGGCTCATGGGGGAACCCCTCACCCTGGACGACCTGGCTGTCCCCTTCAAGAGCCCAGCTCGGGCCCCACCTCAGGCTGCCACCTCCCGGCTGCTGGCCTCTGGGCAGCACCTGGAGCAGGAGGCAGCCCCCCTCAGGTGCTGGGGGGCCCAGGAACCCCCAGTCCCTTCAACGCAGGAGCCCTGGACCAGCGGTGGCCAGGCCCTCCCTGCTGGCCCCCCGTGCACCGAGCCTGTTCTCACGTTCTGTGGTCAGAGAAAGAAACACCCCCGAGGTCTCAGGGGAGCCCTGAGTCTCCCAGAGACACCGGAGGTCCAGGCCAGCAGCAAGCCCGCGTCTCCACCGCAGACCGCTTTGGAGGTGCTGCCTGGGGGCTTCCCTGACCCCGTGCAGGGGGTCCTTCCTGCCTACCCCCTGAGGCGAGGAAAGAGGCCTGCATGCAGCAGGGGGCAGACCGGGGGCCCCCTGCTCCCTCAAGAGGTGGGCAGCAGAGAGGCCGGACTGTGCTCCCCCACGTTCTCCGGGCAGCCTGGGGTGCCCTCCCTGGGCAGGAATGGGGGGAGAAGGCCCCGAGGGAGCAGGTGGCGGGGGGTGGGGTGGAGGAAGAGAGGCCACTTCCTGTCTGCGGGCCTCGGCCCAGCCACTAGTGCCCTGCAGGTAGTGGCCAGAGGAGTCTGGGAGCAGGATTTTGGGGGGCTGCAGGGGGCTGCTGCCTCCCCCAGGAATTCTCACTCCAAGCAGCCAGGTTCGTCAGAAAGGGCAGGCTGGGCAGGGGTGTCCGTCCTGCTTGCTGCGGGCCTGAGGGCTGCCTTGTCCTTTTGTTTTCCAAGAACAAAGCCGGAAATCTTGTGAACCTGGAGTCCGAGAGGGCCCGGTGAGGCCACAGCTGGGGCTGGGACAGCTCCCCTCCCTTTTGCCTCATAGAGATTGGCCCTGATGGCGGAGCCACACGGGACTTGAGGGGGAGGGACTTCCACGCCGTCCCTACTGGGGATGTCAGGGGCCTCGGGGCCCCCAGAGAAGGGACGGACAGCAGCTCCTGGGACTTGTCGCTGCTGGGCATTCTCCCGCCTCCAGCGCTTTCTCATCTGAGATTTCCAAGCCATCAATAGAGGGAAGCCCTTTCTGCTGCACCCTGGGCTGAGGGGCAGGCCCACCCCCTGACCAGCCCCGTCCATCCCCAGCCGGCAGCTGCTGTCCAGATGTTTCAGGGCGTGGCAGCACCTGGTGCGGAGGCGGCAGGCAGCGGCCCTGGGCCTCGGGCGGCTGCGGCACAGGGCACTGAGGCTCCGCGAGGCCCACCTGGAGGTGGCGTACTGTCAACAGAGGAGGGCCCTTCTGGCCCAGAGCTTCCAAAAGGTCAGGGACCTCCAGGTTGGGTGGAGGGGAGGGGATGAAATGCTGGTGTGCTCGGGAGGAGGTTCCTCTGGGGTTCGGGTTCTACCTTCTGAGTGACCCCCAGGAGAGCACGCCGACACCTGAACCAGCTCTGCCTCAGCTCATATCCTGCCTCCGCTGCTGTCTTTCTTTCTTTCACACTTTCTGGCTGTGCGACTGAGGGCAAGTTACCTAACCTCTCTGTGCCTTGGTCTTGTATCTCTACAATGGGATAATCATTGAACATACTCCTCAGGGTTGTTGTGAGGTTAAATGAATAAAGGGACTCAGCACATGCCAGCACGTAGCTCGCACTCTGCCACGTACTGTAAGAGTTGCTGTTTTCCACGAGGGGTTTGCAGGCCAGGACTGTGCTCTTCCCTCCTTGGGAAGGGGGTGCTCGGGGAGGACCCAGCTCCAAGTTCGGTCTCCCAAGGAGAGCCCTGCCTCTGGGGCGCCCTCTCTCCATTCACTGGTGCATTTCCAAGGAGGCAGGGTTGTCTAGTGGTTGAGACCATAGGCTTTGGAGTCTGAGAGAACTATTTGGCCCCTGTCCCTGCGCCTCCCTGGTGCTCCCTCCCAGGGCACATTCGAGGCTGCAGCCAACGTCCCTCTTTCCTTCTCTCCTGATCCAGTGGAGGAACCTGGCTCAGCAGCAGATACAAGGGCAGCCCCACTTCCAGGCTGGCCCAGGACCCCCACCCTCTGGGGGAGGCCAGCCCCCAGGTCCCTCAGGAAGGAAGCCAGGGGTGGACCCCGCCCAGAGAAGCAGGTAGGTGGGGACACCCCGGGTTGGTCAGCGTGGCTGGGCAGTGCTGGCAGCCTCCCTCCTCGTCCCCCGTCCCTCTCCCCAACAAGAGAAGGAGGATGCAACCAGCAGACGTGGACACAGGTTTGTGCAGAAAGATGTCCATCGCAGCATTATTTGTCCTTGTAAAAGCGTTGACACAGCCTCAATGCCCAGTGAGTGAGAAAATTCCCATTTAACTACGTGATGACTATTTGGCAACCATTCCGCATGGTGTTTATGAAGATTTAAAATTTTTCTCCCCACTCTCTTTTCCTTTAATTTTCTTTTCAATACTTTTCATTTTTATTTCTGATCATGACAGTCACGCATGCTTGATTTGAAAACACATCCAATATGGTTGGAAATTTCATCCCCCTCCCCACGGGTCCCCATTCCTGGAAGTATTTTTATGGACATGTGTGTAGAATTTTTGATGACAAGGAAAAATAGTTATGACAATGTTAAATGAAAAAGAAAAATGAATAAATAGTATCTAAGATATTTTTTAAAAATATATTTTATTGATTTTTTACAGAGAGGAAGGGAGAGGAGTAGAGAGTTAGAAACATCAATGAGAGAGAAACATCGATCAGCTGCCTCCTACACCCTCCCCCCACTGGGGATGTGCCCGCAACCAAGGTACATGCCCTTGACCGGAATTGAACCTGGGACCCTTCAGTCCGCAGGCCAACGCTCTATCCACTGAGCCAAACCGGTGCTGGCTAAGATATTTTTCTGTGCACCTAAAACAGGGCACAAAAAAAGACCAGAAGGAAAAAGACTAAAATGTTGCACAATAATGCAAATGGACTTAACACTACTGAACTGTCCACTTAAAAATGGTTAAGATGGCCCTAGCCGATTTGGCTCAGTAGATAGAGCGTCAGCTCAAGGACTGAAAGATCCAGGGTTCAATTCCGGTCAAGGGTACCTACCTCAGTTGCAGGCTCCTCCATGGTCCCTCAGAGCACATGTGGGAGGCAACCAATTGACATGTCTCTCTCACATCGATATTTCTCTCTCTTTGTCTCTCCTCACCCCTTCCACTCTCTAAAAATCAATAGAAAAATATCCTTGGGTGAGGATTAACAACAACAAAAAAATGATTAAGATGGTGACCCCAACCTCCAAAAAGATAAAATGCAAATAGTGCTTATCTCTGCAATAGAGGGATTAAGTTGGCTATTTTTTTCTGCATTTCCTCAATTTTCCACTACTGTGATGTATTGTTTTTGTTCTTATTTTTAATTTTAAAAATGGGTTTAAAATAATTTAAATAATATCCATTGAATACATGTTGGTTGTGAAAAATCCAAATAGTATTGAAGAGAGTGAAGCAAAAGCAGAACCCCCTCCCCAGATCCCTTGTGTAATCAGGGATGAGTGCACTGCCTGGAAGAGAACAGCAGGTGGCTCAGCGCTCCTGCGGGCGGGCAGGATCCGCCCCGGGCTGGGGTGGACAGTTGTATCGTGTGCCTTCCCTGGGCCCTGGGCATCAGTTTCTCTCTGGGCAACTTCACTCTCAGCCCAGGGAGCCTGAGGGAGGAGGCAGGAGCCCGGCCAATTCCATCACGTTCTGGGCCGAGACCAGATGGAGGAGACGGGAGGGTCCAGATCCTGCAGGCCCTGCAACGGATGGCTGGTGAGATGTGGGGCCCCGGGAAAGCGGGGCAGACGGAGCTGGGCAGGGCTGAGTCCCCACACAGGGCAGGGGAGGGCAGGGGGTCCTGAGTGGATGAGTGTTCATTGAGCACCTACGCTGGCAACTTCCCAGACACGATCTCATTTGAGCCTCACGGTGACCTGGGCAAGGTGTTGCGCCCATTTCACTGATGGGAAGACTGAGGCACAGAGTAATTAAGGGACTAGCTCGAAGACACACAGTGATATTGGTGTGCCACTGACGCTGGCACAGGCCCAGCAGAAGCTTGAGTGTTAGACCTTAGACATCATTCACTCACAGGGAAACAAGCCCAGAGATGAGGAGGTGTCCCAGGTGTCAGTGGCCCTCCTGGCCCTGATCCTCCCCTCTGCTCACTCCCTCCCTCCCACTCCCTTTACAGTCTTCCTCCTGCGGTGCCAGCAGGAGGAATGGGCCAGGCAGGAGAAGGGGGTCCAGGGAGAGGCCTCCGGAGCCACGCTGAGGACTCAGAGCATGGGGAGGCCCCCCCAGGCCTGGGGCCCTCCTGCCGCAGATACAGCCTGGGTGCCCCCCCTGGCCCCCCAGCATCAGAGAGCCTGGCTCCGCAGGTAGGCAGAAGGGGGGGGGGGAGGGGGATCGCCTTCCCTGAGGCAGATGTTGACTCCTCCTTGTCTTGAGAGACAAAGATGAAAGAGAAATGAAAACAGCTGCGGTTTACGGAGAGCCTGAGACCTGCTAGAAACCACCCAGGAGCTGGGGGTTAGTTACAAGTAAAGCTGAGTGCCAGTGGGCACCTGTCCCACGTGGGACCTTGGCCAGGTGGGGGACAGACAGGAAATTAGCGGTCACAAGGGGGGTGTGCGAACACCCCCTGAGTGTAGTGTTGTGAAGGGAAGAAACACGGATCTGTGAGTTTTCTTCCTTGTTAACTTTTAAATTATGGAATGGAACATTTTGTCCTACACAAAACTAAAGAAAATGGGATAACACGCCTGTGTATCACCCAGCTTCGCGGAAGTCACCTCCTGAGAAAGCTCCTTTCGGATGCACTCCGATTACTCCCCCTCTACGTTACCGTGACGCAAACCCCAAGCCTCACACCATCCACCCATAGCTATTTCCGTAGCATCTCTGAAAGATAAGGACTCTAGTACACCACATGACCACAAGGCCATGCTCACACCTGGAAAACGAACAGTGATTCCTTAATCCCAGCAAGGATCTGCTCAGCATTCGGATTTCCAGTTGTCTTACAAGCATCCATCTTGTTCCAGTTTGTTTGAATCGGGATCTAAATTAGGTCCACATGTTGGAATTGGTCGAGAAGTCATTCAAGTCTTTGTGGGCCCCCTGAACTCTTTTTCCTTGCAATTTGCCTGCTGAAGAAACCCTATAGCTGCCCGCTGTCTGCATTTTGCTGGTTGCATCCCCCTGAGAGTTTTTCCTGTGAGAACATTTAAACTGAGGGTGCTGACCTCAACCAGGGTTGAGCGGAGGTGTGAAGGATGAATGGTTGACTAGCGGAGGGAGAGCCGGTGAGAGCGCCAGGCAGAGGGAACCGCATGTGCAAAGGCCCGTGACAGCAAAGCACAGAAAACTCCAAGAACAGCAGACAAGTTGCAGCCCTGTTAGTAGGGGGGGTGGAGGTGCAGGGGGGGTTGCGGGGGCGCGCAGGCCGGGAATGATTTGAGATGAAGTTGGAAAGGTGTGGGGAGCACCTTGCAGGCTTGGGGAGGGGTTGACATTTTATCATACAAGCAAGGGGCTGCCACTGGAGGATTTCAGCAGGGGAATACAATGATTTGATTTGAGATTTGTTTTAAAAATCACTCGGTTACTGAGTAGGAACTGACTGGAGGGGCCAAGAGTGGATGAGGGCAGCCAGGTAGGAGGCTGCGGAGGCCACCCAGGCACGTGGAGGTGATGGTGTCAAGTCCTTCCTGCAGCCCCATTTTCCAGATGAGAGAGCTGAGGCCCCGAGAGGGGAAGTAGTGAGTCTGGCGCTTGATAGGAGGGCTGTGGCTCTGGCCTTTACAACCAGCACCTGCACTTCCTCTCGGCTCTCCCAGGTGCTTCGGGGCCTGGCGGCGGTCGGTGAAAAGAGGGGCCCAGCCCCGGGAGCACCTGGCTGACCGCCAGATGGGAACCCCGAGGATGTGCCTGAAACAGTGGGTGTGGATGAAGCAGCTCCGGGCATCGGATGGGGCGAAGGTGACCCAGCTGTCCCTCTGCCGGCAGAAGGTGGGTGAGCAAGGAGACTGAGGGCTCCTCTTCCCTCCACCCGTCTCTTAAGGTCCTGCTGCAGGGGGCCGAGGTGAATTGTGGATTGTTGAAATGGGAGGTGATGGAACTGGGACCTTTCTCAGGGTGCAGCCTGATGGGCCTGGGAGGGTCCAGGGGGGGTCCCGGGAGTGGGTGCGCCCTAGCGGGACCTTGTTCCCATCGTGAGCTCCTCTGAGCCAGAGACTTGTTCATCTTCCACCAGGAAGGGACGTGGCCCCTGCTCCCGGGAAGCGCCTGTGGTGAGTGGAGGGCACGGCCTCTGTCCCCACCAAAGCCCGGCCAGGACAGATGGGATCTTTGGGGTGCCTGGAGGGGAGGGTTTGGGGTGTGGGAGGTGAAGTGCCCTATGAGTGGAGAGGTCTTAGGGGAGGTCCTGAGGCAGCAGCCATTAATAACTTTGGGCAGAGGGAGGGCACGGGGGACATGGCTGATGTGTCTCTTAACTGCTTCTCAGGGAACATGGACCTGGGCAGCTCAGCCCCTGGTGGGACCATATCCCAGGGCTCCCCAAGACGGGACCTCCACGGGGTGCTGCTGCTCTGGAGGGCGAGGCTCTCCCAGCGCCAGCGGGCTGAGTAGGTGTCCACAGGCTTGTGGCTTGGGCTTGGGCCTGGGGCCGGGTGGGCACATGAGCGGTGCTCCCCCCAGTGGCTCCAGCAGGGGGCCTGGTACACGTGGTACCCAGCAGGAGTGGGGGCAGGGGAGGTAGCCCAGGGACACTGAGACAGTGACTGAGCAGAGAGCTGTGGGGACAGACACCGATCCTACCCAGGTGGCTGGGACCTGATGGGGAAGTTGGTCTAAAGCTCCTCTCCCTCTCCAGCCTCTAGAATCGCCTCTTCCCCAGCTCCCAGGTCAGTGGGAGCCTCCTGGGGCGGGAACTATATCTGTCTCCTCGCCTCTGTCTCCCCACCGTGCAGGGGCCCAGCCTGCGGCAGGCACGGGATAAATACTGTAAATGAATACGTGAAAGATCTCTCACCCCCCCGCCCCAATGTGCCTCATTATACGGCTAGGGAAACGGAAGCTCAGAGGGCCGAGCAATTGCTTTAAGTCACACTGTGAACCAGGAGCAAGAAGGTGGATTCAGAGCCCAGGCTGATTGATGGTTTTGTGTGAGGGGAGGGGAGGAGCCAGCCTCCCTCACAGGACACCAGGTGGATGTAAGCCAGCTGTTGCAGGGTTAAGAATTCTGCCCTTGAAAGCCATGCACCTGGCATCCATCAGTCCCACACCTATTTGGTCCACTTGGACCCTCACTCTCTTTTAATGCACCCCTCGAACTCCAGGGAATCTCAGTTCACCACAACCCTTCAGCATGTAGCCCTTCTACGCCCAGCCCATCCTGTGCCTCCGCATCAGGGTATGGCCAGCCTCTCCCTGTGGCACACCTTTGCTGCCTGTGGCCCAAGATGAGTGTTCAGGTCCAAGGCCTGCTGCTATTTGGGGTTTGAGGAAATGCCTTCCCCCAGGCCTCCGCGTCCCTATCTTCATTACTGAGTGGAAGTAGGAGTACTAGTGCGATTAGGCCTGTGGCCGCTTGAGGCTGGGGTCCCTGGACCTGGGCCCAGTCCCATCCCTCACCCACCCGGGAGCATGTCACGAATCAGCCAGGTGGCCAGCACAGGTGGGGCTCAGCAGAGTCACCTGGGAACTTAGGAAACATCAGGAAGCCCAGGCGGCGCCCAGGCCACTGGACCAGGATCTCTGGGGGTGGGACCCCGGGCGTCCGTGTTTCTTAGGGCCCAGTGGTCCAGTGTGTGGCTGGTTTGGGAGGTGGGGTGCAGAGCTCTGGCCAGGTGTTTGGCATGTGGCAGCACCTTCCAGCTTGGCTCTTTCCAGGGGCCCGGCTGGGGTAGCCCCTGCTTAGCAGTCACTCCAGCCAGGGGGTGAGTCTGGGGCTCGGAACTCATCTGCCCCTTCCTATAGCTCCTTCTCCCAGGGCCTGCAGCGGCAGCTGCTAAGGCACATCCTGAGGGCGTGGCGCTTGAGGGTGTGGGGACCAGGCAACCCGTCAGGCAGTTCCAGGACCACCTCGGCCTCAGAACTGCTGGGCAGCGCAGCCCCAAGCCCACCGGAGAAGGTGAGCGGCAGGGGCTGGGCTGAGCCAGGGTGGGTGGGGGACACGTGGGAGGAGAGGGTGGGGATGGGCAGGGACCGGGCACCCAGGAGTCCACACCCCCTTCCCCAGGCGTCCAGGGCCCCCGCCCTCCTGGAGACGCTTCGGCTGAGCTTTCTGTGGGCCGCTGGGCGGCAGCAGCAGGCGCGGTGCCTCCTGCTCTGGCAGGCGCGGGCTCAGCAGTCCCGGGGTGCAGCGAGGTGGCACCAGCACACCCTTCAGAGGCGGTAGGGACCCTGCCCCAGGATGGTGAGCCAGGCTGCCCACTACTCTCTGAATTTACTGTTTCCTGAAGGCCCCTTCCCCCTCAGTCCTTGGCCTTCACAGCAGCCCCCCCTTGGGGTCTTCATCCCAGAGGGCACCCCTCGCATGCCCCAGTCTCAGATCCTCTCAACTCCTCCTGCCCTCCTACCCTGCCTGCCCTGCTGAGAGGTGTGTGCGGAGTCGGGGCGGGGGAGGGGCACTCGTCAGGGCTATGATTGCAGAGATTTCACAGCTGTGGCTCATTCATTCATTCATTCATTCATTATAGCCCAGTGCTTCAGAGTTTGTCTGCCTGGATTCTAATCCCGGCTTTGCCCCTCACTGGCTGTGTGATCTTGGGCAATCTGCTTAACCTCTCTGTGCCTCCATCTCCCCATTTGTAGGAGATAGTAATAGTTCTTGCTTCAATGGGGATCAATGAGGCAGGACACATGCCTCCCCTGGCACAGTGCCTGGCACAGAGCAAGCACTCCATTCCTAGCTGGTTTAGCACTAGAGGTTGGTACAGACCCGGCATTGGAGGTCTGGGGTCCCCTCTTATCCCCATCACCTGTCATTGTGACCCTCGCAGGAGCAGTCCTCCAGCCCCCAGCCACGACTCTCCCCCAAGATGGGAACGGGGAGAAGAGTCACCCCAGGCCCCGCCCTGTGGCTGCGGCAAGAGTGGGCTGGGCTGGCCCCCGGAGGCAGTGACCATCCTCAGGGTGGACACTCCTTTCCCAGCATCCTCCTCGGCTGGAGCCACTGGTCAATGGCCCAAGGGACCCAGAGGAAGCTGGCTGCCCGCTGGGCCTGGGACCGGAGCTGCAGGGACGCGCTGGGCCTGTGGCGGCGGCGGCTGGCGCAGTGGCAGGAGGCAGAGCAGTGGGCCCAGGAGCGGGGCCGGAGACGGGTGCGAGACGCCCTGCAGCGCTGGCACTCCTCCTGGCAGAGTGAGTGGGGGATGGGGACGGGCCCCACGGGTGAAGGAGGGAGGGCCAGGGTCCACCAGGGAGACCGAGGAGTCTGTATCCTCTAGCACAGAGTCCAACAGTGGGACCCCACAGGGCATGCCCAGGACCCGGGAGCGTGGACACTGGTCCCAGGTTCATGTCCCACTTCCATACCCTGGCAGTTGTGGACTGTAAGCAAGCTACTTGAGCCGAGTCTCAGCTTACGTACCTGTAAAATGGGGATAAGAGCAGTAGCACCTCACAGGGGGTTATGGGGATACTGTGAGACAGCCCACCGACGGGCTTGGCTCAGAACCCAGCTCCTGGCAGGGCTCTTGTTCATCTTCATCCTCATCATCCTCACCTGGCTTTCAGGAGGCATGGCCCCCTCAGAGCCCAGCACAGGAGAGGGGGTCACTAGGGGTGTTTTAGAGGTGTCCCCTACACTCATACTGCGTACCGATGGGCTGGCGGCGGGGACTTGGTTGTTCTGGAAAACTCAATGATGCCCTAACCCAGTGGTCGGCAAACTCATTAGTCAACAGAGCCCAATATCAACAGTACGACGATTGAAATTTCTTTTGAGAGCCAAATTTTTTAAACTTAAACTATATAGGTAGGTACATTGTTATTAACTTAATGAGGGTACTCCTAAGGCTTAGGAAGAGCCACACTCAAGGGGCCAAAGAGCCGCATGTGGCTCGAGAGCCGCAGTTTGCCGACCACTGTGGCCTAACCGGTTTAGCTCAGTGGATAGAGCATCAGCCTGCGGACTGAAAGGTCTCAAGTTCGATTCCGGTCAAGGGCATGTACCTTGGTTGCGGGCACATCCCCATAGGAGGTGTGCAGGAGGCAGTTGATCGATGTTTCTAACTCTCTATCTCTCTCCCTTCCTCTCTGTAGAAAATCAATAAAATTAAAAAATCAATAAAATATATTTTTTTTAAAACCAAAAAGCTCAATGCTGTCCACAGGAGACAGTCGCTTCTCCAGCCCCCTTGTCCAGTCGTCCAGGAAGGCAGGCCCAGTGCTTCCAGACCTCGTTTTTTAAAGAAAAGCTGGAAATCTAGATTTTCATGAAATTCTCGGGATTCCTAAACATCATCAAGACATTTTTAAAAAAAGAAACAACTCCCTGAGTTGGGTTGGCTTGGTCAGCAGTAGCACATCTGTCACCAAAGCCTTTCAACCCAGACAGCGAGGCTGGCCTCCTCTGCTCCCACTTGGGTAAAGGGCAGAGGGCTGGAAGCAGGGCCCATGGTCACCCAGAGCCCGGTGATGAGGCCAGAGTGAGCACCCAGAGCCCGGGGTGAGGCCAGAGTGAGCACCCAGAGCCCGGGGTGAGGCCAGAGTGAGCACCCAGGGCCAGGGGTGAGGCCAGAGTGAGCACCCAGGGCCCGGGGGTGAGGCCAGGGTGAGCACCCAGGGCCAGGGGTGAGGCCAGGGTGAGCACCCAGGGCCACTTCAGCATCTCTCTGGCCACAGGGCAGCAGTGCCTGCGTGACCGGTACCAGGGGTGGGCGCAGCTGCGCCAGCAGGGCCTGCGCAGGGCCACGTTCCAGAGCTGGCGGCAGGCGGCAGCTCATCAGAGACACAGGATGGCCAGGCCAGAGCGGCTCGCACTGCAGAGGTGGGTGGGCCTGGCAGCGGGAGGCAGAGGGTCATCCCTACCCCGGGATGAGCAGGGAGAGAGCCCATGGGGATGGGAGGCTGGGTGGCCCCTGCAGCTCTAGGGGAGTCCCCGCTGGAGGCCTGGGACCTGGGAAACGGGGTGGGAGTGGGGTGTGAAGGGAGACCCTAGCCTGAGCCGTAGAGCCATGACCACCAGCCTTCACTACCTGCTTTGTGCGGAGGTGGGGCTGGCAGGCCCCTCATCCCACGTCCCCTCGCCTTCCTGGCTGGGTCGGTCCTTTGGTGTCAGAGGATACGACTGAGATGGAGAGATGAGCTCCTCAGACACCCACCATCATCGGTGTCCCCGCACCGCGTGTTTGGGGGGCCAGCACAGGGGGCTCTGTACACAGGGGCCAGACAGAGGGGCTGGCATCTTAGATAGAGATGCTCCAGTAAAAATGCACTTCGTTCATTAATGCCACGGGAGAGCAGAGGGCACAGACGATGCCCGCTGTGCAGTTACAGACTCACCGTTGTCCAGTGCCCCCACAGCCAGCAAACACCGCTGCAGGGCGGCTGACCCCTGTGCTTTCACAGCTGAAGGCCGTGCCCGTGTTGCAGGCCCCTCAGCGTCCCCTCACTGACCCCCTGCCCCAGAGCGGGCTTGTGGGGGGAAGCAGGGGTGGCTGTCCCAGGGGATCTGGGACTTGAACTACAGCTGCTGGGCTCCCTCAGGCTCCTGAGCAGCATCTACCCTGCCCCGCCCCCCTCCTCGCCCCGAGTGTGTGCGCCCCAAGGCCCCGAATGAAAGCTGGCACTTTCTCCGTTACACGTCGGTCCCTACGTTTTGAAGGCACAGGGTTGTGTATGAAACCGTGTGTAACCTGTAAGACTTTGGGGGGAGGGGAGGGAGGGCACCATTTTGAATAAATGCGACTTGTCACTGACAGCAGCCGGGCCCTCCTCTGCTCCTGTTTTGCAGCCATTTCCAGGCCTGGTGTGGGCCTGCGAGAGACGCGGGGACGCTCGGGGCCCGGTGTCGAGCCGGCCAGGCTGGCCTGAGAAGACGGGCACTGGGAGCCGCGTTGGCCGCGGGGCAGGAAGCCCGCGTGGCCGCAGCCCGGGCGCGGGAGCATCACGTGGCCCGGGCCTCCATTGCTCTCTGGAGAAGCCACGTGCAGGGGGGCCGGGCAGACAGGCAGCTGCGGAGGGCCCGGGCCCAGCAGGCCTTTATGGCGTGGCGAGTGGCCCTGGGCCAGCGCTGTGAGGCCCGCCAGCAGGCAGAAGGGAGAGCTCGGGCCCAGACCCAGCTGGCCCTGTGCTGGACTCTGTGGGTGCACGAGTCCCGCCTCCACCGGCTCAGCCGAGCCCACGCTGCCCGGAAGCTGAGCGCCAGGTGGATGCCCAGGGCCCGAGGGCAGCCCCTCACTGTGCTTCCAGCTGGGGCCTGGAGTTGGTTTGGGGCAGGGGAGAGGTTGTTTGGTGGCTGGTGCCAGGGCTTGGGAGGCTGGGGCTGCCAGGGAGAGGCGATTCTGGTCATGGCAGCTCATCCTGGGCCAAAGCCCAGCTCTGCACTCCCCAGCTGTGTGACCCTTCTTGGGCAAGTCTAATTTTAAAGGTCAAAGAAAGATAACAGAACTGCTCTGCAGGCTGGCGGAGAGATTAGAGATAACGAATGTAAACATTCAGCTCAGGGCCAGACACAACATAGCAGGTGCTCCATAAACCCGGGTTCTTGTGAGGACAGGGGAGGCAGCGTAACTGGCAGGACTGTCCTTCCTCTGAACAGGATGCTTGTCCCTGTTGTGCGATATTCTGTGGCTCTCTGTGCCCAATTAAACCTGTTTGCTCCAGGAGAGCGGGAGGGAGGGGTGGGGGGGAGGAGCAGGGCTCGGGGCTTTGCCTGGAGGTCCCCTACCATAGGCACTGGCCAGGGCTGGGAGGGCTCCCTACGCTGTCATGAAGCCTGGCGCTGATGGCCTTGGGTATGGGCTCCTCCTCTCCCCCCAGGGTCCTAGAGGCCTGGGCCCAATCTGCCGCCCAGGGTCGTGTCCAGCGGGTTGCCATCGCCCGGTTCGAGGTGGTTGGGCACAGGCAGCTCCTGTGGACCCACTGGGCCCAGTGGCGGACAGAGCTGCTCAGTGTGTGGCTGGAACCTCGGATGGAGGCCCAGGAGACTAGCACCGCCCATCCCAGGCCCAGGGCCGACCTCACGCACTGGCCCGGGCTGGCCGGCAGAGGGCGCCTCCTGGCGCTTATGGACACTGCAGCCCCATGGAAACAGGTGAGGTGGGGTCCAGGTGAAGTAGGAGGTTTAGAAATGACCAGAAGGCCAGTGGCTTCAGAATCGGCTTGTTTCAGCCCGTGGTGGCAAGCGTGGCCGGATGCTTCCCCGGGGGCCAGCAGCCATGGGGACACCACCCTCCCTAGCCCTTAGCCAGCCTCCTGGCTCTGGAAGACAGCCAACCCCGGTCCATCAGCACACATCTCCTGGGCACCTACTGAGTGCCAGCCCAGCTCAGGCCTGCTGCAAAGACGAATGCTGGGTCACCGTCTATTAGGCACCCAGAGTCATATATGTCGTGGTGCAGGGTAGCATCAAGACAGACATATGGGGACAGTAGCAATTCTTTGTGGTTCTTTTTCTTATTGAAAAATGAAACATGCTCATTACAGGAAAATCAGAAAATGTGAATGAAAAAGTTTTCTTTCATGATACCCTCTGCCCAAAGATAGCTGCCAGACCTTCTCCAATCAGAAGCAGTTAGTTCTGAGACGAGCAAGCTTGAGGGCCTGCAGGAGGGAAGAGGCTGCCGGGAAAGCCAGGCAGAGAGGTGACGCCATGCGGTGTCCAGGGCTGTGCCATTGCGGGACGCACAGCCCAGAGTTACCGGCAAGGCCAGTGTCCTGAAGATGAACTGCATCACCAGGAATCCTGTGTCAGAACGCCGGGAAGTAGCTAATAGACTCGAGAGAGTCTGAGAAGAAAGGGCAAGTGGTTTTTTTTAATGGAATGGAAAGGAACTGGCGTTGGATGCTTGCAGAGTCCACATCTCCTATGTGGGGCTGCGGCCACAGCAGATTCTGGGGGCTCGAGGTGTTTTATTCCTAGTTCTGTGCTACAAGACAATTCTATTTTCAGAGTATGTTTATAAACACGTTCACCCATTCCTGTCAGCAAAGGCAGGCAGGCACCCACTTACTGGTGGAGAAACTGAGGCTGGTAGAAGCTAGAAGTCAGTGCTGGGAATGGTAGCGGGGGGGCTGAATTCCAGGCCCCTCCTTTCTACCACATGCACACACACGCCAAGGCAACCCTCACCTAACATCATGAGCGGGGATGATGCCATCTCCTGGTGGCACTGGGCCCCTGAGAGCCTGGGGTCTGTAGGAACAGTAGCTGGGGGCCCCCGAGCGGGGTGGCCTCAGCCAAGTGACTTCACTTAGTCAATTTAAGTGGGAGAGTAACACCCGCCTCACAGGCTGTACCTGGCGCAGGGAAGCTCTCGCCTGTGGTAGCTATTACTGATCCACCCGCTGCTTGCGCCTCCAGCCACATGGGAGGACGGGGGAAGAGGCAGTGGTGTGTGCTGACGCCCATACTACGCTTGGGCACCTTCTCCGTCTCCTCTGGGAGCCGCAGGGTTCCCGGGAGAATGTGCAGACCCACGTGTGCTCACACAAGTAGGAGGCCCCAATACCGGGTCAGAGCAGGGCCAAGCCCATTGGGTTCAGGTTCTCCTCTCTGGCTGTTCTCATAGACCCGCAGCTGCAGGCCACAGGGCACGGGGCCCAGGCTGCCCAGCCCAGCACAACATCGCAGCCCCGGTGGGCAGAGGAAGCGGAGAGAAACGTCCTGGGCTCAGAGTAAGGAGACCTGCCCCTGTGCAAGGACGATGTACGAAGTGCAGGGGTGACCGGTCACCGGCCCTTCAGGGCCCGGAAATGAGCTCCGAGCTCCTGGGCGAATCCATTGTATGTATTTACCTGTATTTCCACCACCCATTTCCTCTTCAGGAATATCTCAGCCATTTTCAGAAAACAGTACATCCACCCTGCCTGCCCCACCTGTTACTTCTCTTGGGCCTGGAGGCGCGGGTGGATGTGGGGCACACGCTTCACTCAGCCCCTTTTGCCGCTCACCCGTTCGTGTGTTCAGCCTCTGGGGGTGGACTAAGCCCTCCTGAGTGTTAGCCTTTTGTTAGCCTTTTCTGACTTGATTTCCCCTTTCCAGGCGACAGTGCCGCCCAGCTCTGGATGCAGAGGCCTGGACCCAGGGCCCAGGGCCGGCCCCCTCCAGGGCCCGGAGGGGACTGCAGCTCTGAAGGCCAGGTGGACAAGAGGCGGCTGGGGTAAGCAACTGCATGGAGAAGTGGGCGGGGAGGGGGCCCAGGGCGGAGGGGCCTGAGCTGTGGCCAGGGCTGGGCCTCTCTGGCTAGGCTCCTGGAGGAGGGGGCCCAGCTCACGGCTCAGCCCTTTCTCCTGGGCCATCAAGGGGTCATGATGCTCTTGACCGTCAGTCGGGATGCCCACAGGGCCTCTCTCCCCAGGAGGAAATACCTGCGACGCTGGCACCTGGAGGCCCTGCTCCGCCGGCTCCAGGGCTCCCAGCAGCCAGGCGCCTGGCAGGGACATGGCAATGCTGGGTGGATGCTCAGGGGGCAGAGGAGCTGGCGCGGTCACTGGTGAGTGGGGAGGGGCCCTCGCACCAGCCTCTCATGCTATTCTCAACCCTAACCCCTACAAGGAAGTCTTCCCAAGTGTGGCCTTTGGACCTACTCAGTCTGAAACCTGGGACAGGCCCAGGAATCTGCACTGTTCACACACCTCGTGGTGTGTGGCACCCTCGTCCTGGTGCCACAGAGGGGCTGGGGGCCGCGGCGAGCACAGGTGCCCGAGGCGGCAGCCGCCCAGTGTGGGGCCTCCGCACCCTGTCCCCACAGCTCAGGCAGTGGCGGCTGAGATGGGTCTGGCGCACGTGGCGGCGGCGGGTCGTGCAGCTGCGGGTGGCTCGGCGATTACAGCAACGAGCTGAGGGCTGGGTCCTTTCTCAGGTACTGGCGGGGCAGCCCCAGCCCCAGCCCCCAGCCCCCAGCAGGCCCTTCAAAAGCCAGCGCCTCTGAGCTGGAAGCCCCCCCGGGGGCCCCTTCATTTGCAGGGGAGGGTCAGTGTGGGTAGAGAAAACAGCTTGGATTCGGGAGCCCTGGATATAGCTGGCGGCCCTGTGCCCAGCCCGGTCCTGCCCGGCACTCCCCGTATGTGCTCTGAGCATAGCTTCCCAGGTCACAGGTCCGTTCTATTCTGAGCCTCTGCATTTGGCCGGAGCAGGGTCGGCTGCCTGCCCGCCTAGGGAAGAGGGAGGGACCTCTATTCCCCATGGGACGGAAGGAGCTGGGCACAAACAGCGCAGGCCCGGGAGGGAGCTGGAGAACCTCTCCTTCCCCTCCGGTTCCAGGCCTTTGAGAAGTGGCAGCAGAAGCTGGCAGCCAGGGGCCTGAGGAGGAGCCACCAGCAGCTTGAGACCCCAGAGTAAGGTGGGCATCGAGCCCAGGGAGCACCCCCTGCGTGTGGCGGACTCGAGGTGGAGCAGGGGCCCGCTGCAGCCGGGACTTGTTGCCATGGACAGAAAATCAGAATGGAGCCCAGCCTTCCCAGGGAGGAACTGTGCCCCCACCCCCTTCCAGGGAGTGCAGACTGGCCGGCCGCGGGGCGCTCAGCCCACCGAAGAGCCCTGGGAGCTCTGAATGCCAATAAACTGCCTTCTTGGTCCCAGCTGCTTCTCTGGCTCCCAGCAGCCTGGACGGACATGGAGGGGATGTGCCCACAGGCTGCTCTTTGGACGCCCCCACCCCCACCCCCTTAAGCTCAGGCAGGGACGGGAACTGAAAAGAGCCCACGTGCACCTGCCAGTCACCACCCTGGGCAGCGCAGCTTAAGGGCCGATTCCTGGGGAGCAGTGCCAGGCAGACAGATTCCGGATGCGCAGAGGGCGGAACAGCTGGCAGGAGGAGGTCCTGCCTGAAAACTAAGCCAGGAAAACAGAAGCCCTGCTCGAGTGACCTCATGTGACCTCGCCTTTGCCCTCGGTGGTAAGGGGCAGCGGAGAAAAGGGAAGGCGGAGGCTCCACCAGGCACAGAGATCAGACACCTTGAGCCCCGAAGAGGGACTTTATCTCTGGCGCCACCAGAATAGAGACAACTGCTCCCTAAAGCAGCATGGCGGAGGTGAAGCCCAGCGGGCCCCAGGGAGGAGGCGGCTTGTATTATTAGGTTTCAGCCCCAGACCCGTCCGGGGGCCTGGTGCCAAGGGTAGTGTCTGCCCTTCAGTTACAAGTAGGAAGTGCTCAGCTGCCAACGTCTCGGAGGCAGAAGGGAGCAGCATCTTCACTCTGCCACAGCTGTCGGCAATGCCACGCGTGCCTGCTGCCCGTGTGTGCTTTGCCCGTCTTCCATAGCCCCAAGTGCACGGTCACCGGCAGTCTCAGGCTGGCTCTGAGAGGCTGCCTGGTGCCAGGGCCCCGTCAGCCATGACCAGTCTCCTCCCCTTCTCAGGGAGGATGGTGGTCCACCCACCGTGGTCCTGGGCGGGATGGAGGTGCTCCCCACAAAAGAGCAAAATCTCCCGGCCGAGCAGGGAACACCAGGTCCCGCGTGGGGCTGACTCAGGTCCAGCCAGAGCCCGGAGCCTCACACCAGCGTGGCTGCCATTGTATGTGAGGGGGTGTAGGAGCCTAAGGATGTCAGGGTGCAGGGTCACGGAGCCTGTCCCCTCTCGCTCCGGGTCTGTTGAGAAGTTCAAAAGTGTCTTCTACCACCTGCCACAGGCAGTTGTCCAGCGGAAACTCGTTGTCTACCAGGTTGACGAGGAAGTAGTTGTCGTGGATGTACTGGATGATCATACGGGGACGGAGACTCCTCGTCGTACAGCTTGCCCCACTGCTTCACCCACAGGGCGAAGGCTTCATCCTGTACGTGCACACGAACAGGCACAGGCGCAGGCGCAGTCACACACAGACATACAAGTGCAGACAGGCACAGAGACGCACAGGTGCAGACACAGCCACACAGGCACGGTGAACAGGGCTGCCCTTGGGTCAGGGCTCCGTGCTCGGCGCCACAAGAGTCTCTGCCACAGCCCAGTAGGACCTTCCCGGGAATAGGACAAGGCCCACTGCGGGGCCACCTCCCACTCCCCAGCCCAGAAATACGCTGTGGCTCAGAGTCAGGGTACAGCAGGGAGGGCCTCGCTGGCCAACCCTGGGGGCGTGGCTTCCAGCCACTCTGGGGACCCAGCAATCCTGCCTGCCAGGTGCTCCAAGTGGGCAGGGCAGGCCGCTCCCAGCCCCTTACCTTCCAGAACATGAAGCTGACAGGATCCACCACCGTGGGCTGGATGATCTCTCGCCCAGGGAAGATGCCCCAAGTGACAGCGTTGGGCTGCAGCTCGGGGGCATTGGTGATGTTTTCACCCTGGGGTGGGAGGGGAGGTAGGAGCAGACGGGACAAAGCCAACCAGAGCCCCCTGGTTGCCCAGGCAGCTCTCTGCTCCACACTCTCCCCACGCCCCTCCCCCCAGCTCTGTGAGCCTGAGACTTAGAGGCCACACCGAGCACTTCCTCCTCTCTCGCTTCAATCAGCTCTACACCCAGCGGTTCTGCCTGCTTCCTCTCCACTCTGCTCCCTTGGGTCTAGCCCAGCTGGGCCTCTTTGCTACTCAGACAAGGGCCTCTGACTCTAGTGTTCCCGGGCCCATTCGTCATCAGCCGTCCGATGTGACCTGCCTAAAATAACACCCGGAGCCAAGTCGGCACTGCTTGGAAAGGCTCCCTCCTGCCTCCAGGGACCATGGAGGCCCCTGAGCCCCTGCTCAACACTTTAGCCTCGCGCTCCGCAGCAGGCGGTGACCCACTAGCTATAGACGCTGCCTCTGCACACCCTGCCCTTCCCCAGGAACGCCCTTCCCTCCTTGTCCTGAAGGATTCAGGCCACAGAGGACCCTCCAAGAAGCCTCCGTGACCTCCCAGGTTAAGTGCCCCTCCCCTGGGTCCCAGCATCCTTACTGAACTGAACTGTCCCAATATCCACTGACGGGCCTCGCTCACTAGGCTGGGAGCTCCGTCTGCCCGGGGCCAGTGCCTGCTGAGTGCGGGAGTGACCGTGGGTGACCTCGGCTGGCAGCTGCCCCGCTGAGCACCTGTGTGTGGAGCTGGCCTACCTTCACGTCCACGATGTGGTAGTTCACCCGCTGCTCGTACTTCTTCAGCACCTGCAGGAGTGCCCCCACCGTCTCTCGGGAAGTGAAGAACTCCAAGTAGGCCTGGGGGAGCAGGCGCCCGTCACCCCCGGTCCCTGCTGGCCGCCTTCTCGGCGCTCAGCAATCCCGGTCGGATGCCCCCAGGGAGGACCCACGCGCACAGGTGTGTGGGACACTGAAGACAGGGGCACTAGTGGTGGCCACCGGATGGAGTCTGGAGCAGGTGGTGAGACTTCCCAGCTGGCCAGTCTGCGGGACCTCTGCCAGCCCGCCTCCCGTTAGGCAGGGAGGCCCCCGGAGAAGCCACCGTAAAGATGGCGAGGAGGCCAGCCCCCTCCCACCCGCCCCCTCACTGGAGGTGACAATGACTCTAGTGGCTGCTCTGGCACCAACTGGATCAGAGATTGAGCTGGGCTTACGCCGTCACTTGCCGTAATGCCCGTAATACTGCAGGGTGGGCCCTCTCAGCCCCATTTCCCAGATGAGGCAAGTTCAGGGAAGGTGAGGACCTGGGCCGGTGAGGACCTGGGCCCACTGGTGATAAACAGCAGAGCTGGTCTCCTCACACCAGGGTCGTTCTAATCAGGGCCCAGGGGTTCAGTGTGAGTGTAACTCTCACTCCAGCCACCCAGGGGAGAGGTAGCGAGTGCTTCCTGTTCCTCCCACTTGCTAAGCTGTACGTGCCTTGCCACGCCTCCTCCCCACAACATGGGGTGATCTGTCCCACCTGAGAAGGCGGAGGCTCGGAGCGGTCAGGGGACCCCCCCCCCCCCAGGCCTGACCTAAAGCGGGAGCTCCCGTCCACCCAGGTCCACTGCTGCTCAGTGAAGGGCCCAGAGAGGAAGCTTCCTGTCCCCATCACCGGGGCTCCTAGGGGCCAGTCAAGCTGGGGCGGCCCTGGGCCCCTGCACACCTTCTGGAAGACATAGCCCCCGCTGGGGCCCCAGCCCACGACCGGGTCAGAGGACGGCTTCCCGTTGATGTTGGGCTGGGAGTTGATGGTGAGGATGCCCTGCCGGTTCACACGCAGCAGCTCCTCCTTCATCAGGCTGGTCTCGGCCGCCAGGGGCTCGTCATTCCAGGGCAGGCAAGTGACCTGGGAGGGGGGAGCCGGGCCGGGCTGACCACGGATCTGGTACTCTGGGCCCCTCCCTCTCGGGGGCCCCTCGAGACACCCAGCCTGTCTCTGCCTCTGTAAGCCCCTCCCAGGCCCCCCAGCTGGCGACTTCCCAACTCACCCTTCTCCCTGGGCTGAGGTGCCTCGTCCAGAGCAGAGAGAGAAGGCTGAGGGTGGGCAGGCCACAGGGAGACGGGCGGGGGTGTAACCAGGGGCCCCACCGAGCACCACTCACTCGACAGCCGCTCTGGTTTGGCTCCCCCGAGAGGTAGTGGACAAAGACTTCAAAGACACTTTCTTCACTGGTCAGCTCCTCCCCCCACATCTTCAGCAGCTCCTCCCTCGGGGCCTTGCTCGTCAGGTAGAAGAGGTAGTAGTCCTTCAGCTCCCCGAAGGCTGGCGAGGAGGAATGGCCCCTGCAGAGGACGTGCCCCATGGTCAGGGCACAGCCTCACCTCGGGCTCCTCACAGGAGGACCGCTGTCCCACACACCAGAGGTCATTCTGTGACTCCAGTCCCTCCAGGGCAGAGAAACATGCCAACTCCTGCCTCCTGCCTCCCAAGACATAGGACCCATTTGCAAAGGACGGTCTGCGGCCTCACCAGCGGCCGTTGGGGAACTCGTCCCAGTCCTGGGTGCGGTAGATGTAACTCTTCGGTCTGG